ACGCAAACTTCCTAATCAGCCAATTACATGGTGAACGCACGTCAAGCACGAGTGGTTTACATGTTAAGTCAATGCAAACGCGGGAATAGACATCCTGCGGCACGATACGCGCGAATGGCGAAGCGTGAATTGAGCGTTTTGCGCATTTGACGAGCATTTCATGCGAATTGCTCGAGTTCAAAAGTCTGAACTTCAGCGGACATTCGCGCAGACAAACATGTTAACCAATCAGGAGCTTGCTCTTGTGGGGGCGTGATTGTAATGTACACCTGTTGTTGGTGTCCCGGGGGAAATCCTCCAGCCTTCACGACACCGACAAAAAGTTCGTCAAACTGGGCTGGGCTCAGTCAGAAGCACCGCTGAAAGCCTCCGTCATCCAGGTTCAGTTTCTGGAGGAGTTTATAAGCTCACAGAGCTGGATGCACCTCTAAAAGAATGTAGTGGACTCAAACACGGCACTAAATGTATCGACGCGGTTTTTCAGTCTTCATAAAACACATAAGCACTGTTATTTTCTCAATAAAATCCATGTTAGCCATTTAGCTATGAAGCTAGAGTCACCGAGCAGACAGAAGCCCTGTCCATCACGCGAATCCGCGTCTGTTCTGAAGGGAATATGATGCGCGAATAAAGCGAGTAAACTCAAATGTTCACGCGGCCATTTACGTGTGAATAGCGCAATTTATCCGCGAGTTCCACGTCTGGTGTGAACGAAGCATCAGAATGGGGAAGAAAGGGGATTTAAGAGACTTTGAACGTGGCATGGTTGTTGCTGCCAGACGGGCTGCTCTGAGTATTTCAGAAAGTGCTGATCTACTGGGATTTTCACGCACAACCATCTCTAGGGTTTACAGAGAATGCTCCGACACAGAGGAAATCTCCAGTGAGCGGCAGTTCTGTGGGCGCAAATGCCTTGCTGATGAGGCCAGAGGTCAGAGGAGAATGGCCAGACTGGTTCCAGCTGATAGAAAGACAACAGTAACTCAAATAAGCACTCGCTACAACCGAGCTCTGCAGAAGAGCATCTCTGAAGAAAAGAATGACGCAGCTTCTTCTGCCGCAGTATAATTCAGTTTTTACTGTTGATATTTGGCAGCAGTTAACCAGGAAGTGACGATTTTGTTCTCTTTGATTCGTTGGATGGAAACTCTGCGTTATTCGCATGTCTTTCATGTGAAATTACAGTTTTGCAAATAAATTTAATTAGCATTTTTGGATGGAAACACAGCTACTGCCTTAATGTCAGTCACAAAAAGAGCAGTCACGTACAAGAGTTAATGAATAATTAGCTTAAATTGGACAGGACATGTGCTGTAACTTGATTAATGAGATTATTACTTGCTCTCAAAACTGCATTTTAGTTCTGCGTACATTCTAAACGTCATATCAACCTCTGCTTGATCAATAAAAGGCAGACACACAAGTGCACTTTTAAATCTGTTGTAAAAGTGGGAACCTTAGGGTGTTTTCACTCCTGCTTTATTTAGTTCAGTTGAATGGCACTAGAGTTGGTTGTCCCTCTTGGAGCGGTTCGTTTGGGCAGGTGTGCATGTAGCAATCGCACTGGAGTGCGCACCAAAAGCGGACCAAATAAGCGTACCGAGACCTCCTTGAAGAGTTTTTAATCATTTTGGTATTCCAACTCAGAGTTCAAGCTTAAACTCAGAGTTGGTTGAACTTCCTTACGCCCTATTCACACGGGGCGTCAGCGTCAACGCTTCCCATTCACTTTGAATGGGTGACGTCAGGTGTTGCCCAACTGCATTGTGGATCCGTCGGCGCCGCTTCAGAAGCGTTCCTCGCTGCAGAAGTTGGGACTAGCTCAACTTTTCAAGCGCCGACGGAAGCGTCAGCCAATCAGATCGCTGTATGCAAATACACCAGCTCAGACAGTGGCCTATTGCTGACTGAATTTCATTGGCTGATGCTTCTATGACGATCGTTTCAGCTCCAACTTCAGACACGCCTTCAGTCAAGCGTTGACGCTGAAGCCTCGTGTGAATGGGATCACTACAAAGGCAAGAACATCCAGCTCCCTCAGGACTGTGCATTCAGAACAGAAAGACAAGAGACATTTAAATGACAAGACATGAGAGTCTAAAACAAGAATAAACATGACTGAAGTGGTGGAGTTCTGACAGTTCTCCTTCTGCTGTGTTTGCAGGTTTCGATGTATTGTGTACCCCTTCCAGCAGAAGCTGACACGCCGCCAGGCCATCATCACCATCGCCTTCATCTGGGCTCTGGCCATCGCCATCATGTGCCCGTCTGCCGTCACGCTGACCGTCTCGCAGGACGTCCTGCACTTCATGGTGGACCGAGACAACATCACGTACCCGCTGTTCACCTGCTGGGAGGCCTGGCCTGACCAGAGCATGAGGAAGATCTACACCACCGTGCTCTTCTCACACATATACCTAGCTCCGGTCACGCTCATCGCCATCATGTACACCCGCATCGCCCTCAAGCTGGTCCGGTCGCCCGCATCAATCCGGGACGCCCAGGCGGAGGACGAGAGCCGGAGGGTTTTCCGCAGAAAGCTGCGCGTGGTCAACATGCTCCTGATGGTGGCGCTGCTGTTCACCGTCTCCTGGCTGCCGCTCTGGATCCTCATGATGCTGACGGATTACGGAAACCTGACGGAGGCTCAGTTGGATTTCGTGGCTGTTTACGTGTTCCCGTTCGCCCATTGGCTGGCCTTCTTCAACAGCAGCGTCAATCCAATAGTCTATGGGTATTTTAATGAGAATTTCCGGCGGGGGTTTCAGGCGGCGTTTAAGATGGGGATGTGTTTAGTGGAGCCGCCGCAGCCCAGACGCAACGGCACGTGGAAACACAACCGTGTGTTTGTGGATAGAGACGCTCAGGGGAACGACAGGAGAGACTTCTGTAATGGAGAACAGCATGATGAGCTGGTGCTGGAGGATCTGGACTGATGTGCATGTGGAGAGACGCTTTGTAAAATGCTCACGCTGCTCTTTGAGGCAAGTTTTTACAGTGGATGGCACTGCAGGCTAGTTTTCGGCGGATGACGTTCTTGGGTAGTTCTGAACAGCAGATGGTGCTCAAGAAAACATTTATCCGCGGGGGGCGCTCTAGGGAAGTTTTATCAAGAGATGGCGCTCTAGGAATGGTTTATCAGCAGAGGGCGCTCTAGGAATGGTTTATCAGTAGAGGGCGCTCTAGGGAATGTTTATAAGGAGATGGCGCTCTAGTATTTAACAGCAGACTGGGTTCTAGACTAGTTTTAAACAGCAGAAGGACCTCTAGGCTTGTTTTAAACAGCAGATGGCGCTCTAGGTTAGTTCTGAACAACCAACGTTGCTCTAGGCTTGTTATAACACCAGATGGCACTGTCTGCTAATTTAAAACAGCCGATGGCGCTTTAGGCTAGTTTTAAACACCAAATGGTGCTCTAGGCTAATTTTAAACGGAAGATGGCACTCTAGGCTGGTTTTAAACACAAGATGGCGCTTTAAGCTAACTTTAAACAGCCAATGGCGCGCTAGGCTAGTTTTGAACACCAGATGGCACTCTAGGCTAATTTTGAACAGAAAAAGGCACTCTAGGCTGGTTTTAAACACCACATGCTGCTCTAAGCTAACTTTGAACACCAGATGGCACTCTAGCCTAATTTTGAACAGCTGATGGCGCTTTACACTAGTAAACAAACGTTGCTCTAGGCTGGTTTTAAACAGCAGATGGTGCTCTAGGCTAGTTTTACACAGCAGATGGAGCTCTAGGCTGGTTTTGAACAGAATACAGCGCTCTAGACTAGTTTTAACTAGCAGATGGTGCTCTAGGCTAGTTTTGATCCGCAGATGGTGCCCTAGGCTAGTTTTGAGCACCAGATGGCGCTATAGGCTAGTTTCAAACACCAGATGGTGCTCTAGGCTAGTTTTAAACACCAGATGGTGCTCTAGGCTAGTTTTAAACACCAGATGGTGCTTTAGGCTAGTTTTGAACACCAGATGGTGCTCTAGGCTAGTTTTAAACAGCAGGTTGTGCTCTAGGCTAGTTTTAAATAGCAGAAGGAGGTCTAGACTAGTTTTGAATACCAGATAGTGCTCTAGGCTAGTTTTAAACACCAGATGGTACTCTAGGCTAATTTTGAACAGCCAATGTCACTCTAGGTAAATTTCGAACAGAATATGGCGACCTAGGCTAGTTTTGAACAGAAGAGGGCGCTCTAGGCAAGTTTAGAATTAAAAAAATCATTCTAGGCTAGATTTAAACAGAAGATGGTGTACTAGGCTAGTTTTGAATAACAAACATCACTCTAGGCTAGTTTTGACCACAAGAGGGCGTTTTAGGCTAGTTTAAAACAGAATACGACACTCTAGGCTAATTTTGACCAGAAAAGGACGCTCTAGGCTGGTTTTGAACAAAAGAGGGCGCTCTAGGAATGTTTTAAACAGCAGATGGCACTCAAGGCTAGTTTAAAAAATGTAAATGATATGCTATTTTTAATTTGTATCACCATCTAACTAGTCAGACACCGTCTGTCGCAGCATTTTCCACAGATCAACATGCTCCTGATGGTGGTGCTGTTGTCCACCCTCTCTGAACTGATCTGCGTATGAAGAGACGCTTTTTAAAATGCTCACTGTTTGCTGCTCTTCTGAAAGCACTGCAGCACACACTGCCACTGCAGGTAGAGCTGCCTGATTTGGGGGAAAAAATGTATTTTCACTTCAAAGTAGTTTTGTTTGTTTATAGGACTAAACCCTAATATCAATATGAAAAAAAAGTAAAATAAAATAATTATAAATATTACAGAAATATTTTATTATTGATAATAATAATAATAATAATAAGTTATTTGACAGCAAAATATTTTTTATAATAAATTGTACTAATAATAACTAATAACACAATACTAATAAGAATATTACTAATAATAAGATATTGTTCTATAGAGCGCGACGCACAAAGTAACACGGGGCTAAGTTTAACACAGAGTTTTAAGGTATTTGCTCAGGGTTAACCATGCTTCTGAGGTTTTCACCACAGTGTCGGCAGATGTCTTCCTGACAATTATTGAAAAAGTTTGGTGAAATTTGGACGAGAAACACAGAAAAAAAAACATTTTTGCAGCATAAAAGTATTTTTTATTGTACTCAATATTTTTTGTATTTTAAAAGAATCAGTGAAAGTATGTCAGCAAAGTCTTATGTTGTTGTGATTGCCGTCTTCTAGGCTAAAAGATGAAACCATTTTGAAAGAGAAACACTGCTAAGCCAGTTTTGAGGAAAACATGACACAGCAGGGTTAGTAGTAACAGGGTGTTAAAATTCAGCCACACTGTTGGACACCAATTAAACTAACTGTGTTCCATCTTGCCCCGCAGGTGGAGTAAATAGTAACATCTTTACTCCTGGCACTTTTGGCAATACCGCACAGAAACCATAGCTCCGGCGATCATAATTTGAGTGCTCATTTGTTGGAGAGGCTTGTTCATTACTGGTAAAAAAAAATGGTTTGTATAAACCCCATTAATTTATTCAATATTTGACCAAAACCAAAAAGTGTTACTCTGTGCCTCGCTCTCCCCTATATCAAACTTATTATAATATTTTACAACGGAGTAATATTACTGTCTAGTCTAGAAAAAATGTAATATTAATAATAATATGACTATTAATATGGAAATATTTCATTGTAAAGTAAAACAAAATGGCCAAGCTTATCCTTTTTTTGACAAGCTCTTTATTAAAAATATCAATAATAAAAACTAATAATGAAATATTTGCATGGATCAAGATCCTAAAATGTACATTAAAACAACTTAAATGTGGAGAAACCTTCACTGTGTTGCTAAAAAACATCAGATCTACATGTGAAATTAACAATTAAATGCCCAATTTGAGAAACCACAACGCAATATATTTTCAATCATGAAGCCCTAAACTGAGTTCACCCAAAATGAATATGCAGAATTATATACACACTCACCCTGATTATCTGATCTGCATGATGCTTTTCTGGATCTTCTAAAAAATTAATCATGCTCCACAGAAAACAGAAGCTCAGACTTTCTCCTGTGTGTTTTTAATTGATGTTCAGAGTGATTTCTGAGCGTACTGTTCCTTTAAAAGAGCGATGCATGTTAGCATGTGGCATTAATGTGCATCCCCTGAGGAACGCATTCATTCAAGAGCTAGAAAAGCGTGTGAATGTGTTCAGTCATTGATGACTTGTGCTGTACTGGGGTTTGTTTTACTGTATGTGTTGATTGATATGCAGATTTATGTAAAGCTCTTCGCTCTGTAAAAGCAGCAGCAGTTATGAATCATCCTGTGTGAAGTGTGTTTGTGTCTTCAGAAAACGCTGAAGGGTAATTACTGAAATTAAGCAGCAAAAACGTGAAAATGTCAAAATGCCTGTGAAAGCCTGTGTCTTAATAAATAAATGTGTTGTAAAACAGCCGACATCTCTCGATCTCTCTCTCGATCTCTCATCTGTCAATCCATCCCTCCATATAATTTGTAAATCCTTCCATCCATCCGTTCATCTCATTTGTGAATTCAAACATCTGTATTATTTGTGAATCCATCAATCAGTTCACCTATCCATCATTGTATCTATCCATCCATCCCGACATTCAGCTATATAATTTGTGAGTCCATCCGTCTGTCCGTCCATCTATCCATCCATCTGTCAATTTGATGTATCTATCCATCAATTCATCCATGTAGCTATCTATCCATCCATCAACCGATCCATCCACCTATCTATATATAATTTTTGAGTCTGTCAGTCCGTCAGTCCTATCTATCCATCCATCCATTCATCTATCAATCCATCCATCCATCTACCTCATTTTTGAGTCTGTCCATCCATCTATCCAGCTGTCCATCTATCTGTTAATCTATTCATTCATCTATCTATATCATTTGAGTCAGTCCATCCATCCGTCCATCCATTCATCTATATAATTTGTGAATCCATCTATCCATCCACCCATCCATACCATTTGTGAATCCATCTATCCCATTTGTGAATCCATCCATCCATCTTCATCATTTGTGAATTCATCCATCCATCAATCCATCCATCCATCTCATTTGTTAATCCACCCATCCATCCATCTAATTTGTGAATCCATCCATCCATCCATCCCATTTGTGAACCCATCCATCTCATTTGTGAATCCATCCATCTAGCTTTATCATTTGTGAATCCATCCATCCATCCATCCATCCATCAATCTCATTTGTGAATCCATCCATCCCTCTATAGCATTAGTGAATCCATCCATCCATCCATCCATCCATCCATCAATCTCATTTGTATATCCATCCATCGATCCATCCATGCATCCATCCAACCATCTCATTTGTATATCCATCTATCCATCCATCCATATCATTTGTGAATCCATCTACTAATTTGTGAATCCATCCATCCATC